GTACGTAGGTATTTATTGGAAAGGTGAGAAGTTTAAAAACTTCTCAATACAGAGCTCTTCCCTATATAATTGTACCAGTTTTAATATGAAAGAAAATTTTTTGTGCCATGAAATGATTGGTCTTTTCCTATTATAGAATAAAGTTTTCGATACAAATTCGTGAGGGAAATTATTATATTTCATTCATATTTTAAATGTAAAGCAATGCAAGTTTATTTGCTGATTTCATAAATATAGTAAATCAGTAATCAATAAGCGAGATCCTCTTCGAACATTGAATTTACTTTACAAAATTTACAAAATTCAACCCTTAATTAATATAAATTTTTAGTGAATTTTGAAAAATAAACTTAGTGTTATTTAAAATGAAGTAGATATAGTATATATGAAGCAGTTATCAAATTTAATTACTTTTAATTTTGTTTAATTTATAATTGAAGAAATTTATTTTAAATTATTTTGATACTTGGAATGTAAATATACATTAAGAAGACGGCAGACTGCCAGCGAGGGTTACCTTTTTAACTGAAAACAATTAAATAATTTCTTACGATATTTTATAATCATCATTCTAATGATAGCTCAGTTTAGTTTAACCTTAAAATCATAATAATAAAATAAAAAAAAGGTGTGTACGTAAGGTTAAAAAAAGCGAATATTTTTGAAGAATTTGACAGAGAATGCGCATTTTCGCAATAAATCCTGATGATGAATGAGAAGTTAATTGAAAAATGTGAAAATAAGTACTTTTATCTCCGTTGCTACAATATTGCAAAACGCTCACACTTTACGATTGGTGCATACATTTTGTCAGACACAGAAGCCGTATGCATTCAAATGAAGTTTTTGTAAAAAACAATACAAAATTAGTAATATTTCTATCAATAATATATGACATATTTAAAATTTTATAACTACTATCGCTAATGATTAAAATTGTTGTGTCTTATTTAAAATTTTAACGGAATAATTTTATTTTCATAAAAATCAATAATAAAAAATTAACCTTTGTTAAACAGTCAGTATTCTACGTTAATATTCGTAAAAATCTACTTTAATTTACGTCTACCAAATATCGAAAAATGGTCGCCAAGTTTGCCGAGAAATATTAGTCGCCAAAACCATTGCCAGCTTGGCGATCTCTCGCCCATTTAGAAAATAGCCACTTACTCAATGTTAGACTTGCCCCTGTACACTTACCATCTCCAGTAAGATTCGCTTCTCTAGATTTTCATGCAATCTTACAAGAAATGACAAATATTAAGTAGCAAACCGTTAGGAGTGTAAAGGAAATCATAAGAATTGAAGAACAATTTAGGATAAATGCTGTTACGCGCGTACTGGTTCGAAAAGACTGAAACACGCAGAACCGATGATAGCTTGATAAAATTTCTTTTACCAAAAGAACCACTTCATAGTTCTGAAATTTTCAGCAAAAATACTCGTACAGGTGTTCACAGTATCAGAAAGTGCAATCAGTAGTTAAACTTCAAGCTATGAACGTTAAACACAACGCAATGCAAAGGTCATTTAAAGAGCGAAGGTAACCCTGCGATATCTCTGTACTCCGGACTCACGCTGAAATAACAACTGAGAGCAGATGCTCTCTCCGATGTTATATAATTTTTATCCAACCGCGGAAACATTTCTAGTACTCTTTGCTTCTCAAAATTACTGGTAGGCAGATGAGAGTTGAATTACCGTTACAGCTTCATAAAGCATCATTTAGAGTTATTCAATAACAATTTCCATCAAAGTTATACAGGAAACGGACCAAAGTGCCTTAAAATGGTAGTCAAGTTTGGAGACAAGATTAGTCGCCAAAAACCGTTGCCAGCTTGGCGATATCTAGCCAATTTATCAAAATAGCCACTTTCTCAATGTTAAATAGACTTGACCCTGTATTCTTACTTTTCGGCTAAGCTTCGCTGCTGTAGATTTGCTTGTTACATTACATTACATAGAACAATAGAAAAAGAATTCGTAATAATAATTATTAGGTAGCAAACCATTAGGAGTATAAAGGGAATGATAAGGAGTTTAGAACTATTTAAGATTTCTACAAAAATGCAACTATCAAAGTTCATAATTTTTAATTGCGAAATATTTAAAAATTTGAAGTTCATGATGTTAAAACCAGATTAATTTCTGATTGCACTACATACTTAATACATTAGTTTCAAAGGCTTCTAATTACAAAATGTATCATAAATACGCATTTAGCTGCGTAGATGTGTGTGATGTGTGTGTGACACATAATAGTCAAAATATTTGTAATGAAGTAATATTAAGTTTTGCCAAATAGTTTTAAACAATTTTAAAACAGTTCTTTTATAGATTTAAAAAAAAAAATCCTCTTTTAAAGAAGTTTAAAGAAATTTTTTTAAAAACCGCTTTACTTGAATGTTAGGTAAATAATAAGGTTTAGTGTGTTGAACAGTAATCTCTATTCTAATTCCTAATAACCTTTATACGACCGTCTTCAGTTCTATTATCTTAAAGATTTTGTTGAGTTTCCTTTAATACCATTTTGAAACAGAACTAAACATCACGCAGACAGCATTTTGATAATTTATGAACATCTCTTATTCGATTTAAAAGAAGCGTTGTTTTGGAATTTTTTACAAATATATGCTTCTTATTCAAAATTTTATTCACTTAAATATATAATATAAAGTTTAGAAATCTCAAGAAATGCGCTAAAAATAATTTGATCAGATATAGTTGTAGTGTTCCTTCCTTTTATTATACTAAATTAAGTGTTCAGGAACCTAGTGAACAACTAAGCGAATAATCACTTGAGTCCATGAACAGAAACGCGAACTCAAGAAGGGTTAATTTATTTGCTTCAAATAAAATTTACAGATGGCCACTTTCTCAGGGCGTACAACAAAGCCTCCACTTGGGTTAAAACGTAAACGTAAAACGTAAGAAGTAAGAACTAACTAATGACTAACTAACAGAAGCGTAGCTAGGGTTTCCAGCGCCCGGGGACAAGTGAAGATTTTGCGCCCTTTTCTGTGTGCCAAGAGTGGAAAACATTTCATTCTAAAATTTCATAACATCCATTTGGCGCCCCCTGGACGGTGCGCCCGGGGACAGCTGTTCCTCCTTGCCCGACCTTAGCTACGTCACTACTAACTAAAGAGATTTAGCAGAAGCGTAATTCTAACCTAGCTGGGCCTTAATATTAAACTAGCCAGCGAAGCTCTTAAAAGATACGTAATACGGCCCGAGCGTACTAACAGAGAGACGTAGACAAAGAGCAAACGCGCCCTATTGAGGAATCCTAACTCTCTCGACGTCAGTAGAACTTTGACTTTCTACTTCTGATTTGCATTTAACGAGGTTAAAAAAAACTCATTCTGGTAAGGAATTGTAAGCTGAATCTAGAAGAGATAGGAAAGGTTTATAAACGCAAAATAACTGTTTTAAAATTAAAATATACATTATATAGTGATTAAAATATTCTAATTAGAATTCTCGTAATGCAGGACACGTTATCAGAATGACGAATAAAGAAAGTTGCGTAGAATAACGAATAAAGAATGTCTGAAAATAGTTCTTCGAGAATTCCGTGCAATTGCAAATGATACCAACCTGTACACAGTGTCAGTAATACTGTAATATAGATTAATTGGACTGATAATAGCAAATATTATAATGGAGTTAACTTATACTTTTAGAAAAGGTGCACTTTTTTTTCAAAAGGCAATTCCTTATAGTCACATTTATATAGCGTTTCGACGACGAGACAAACAGAACCTATTCATTCACTCATTCACTCATATTATTATGATATACACACATATGTATTAACACTTTCGCACCGGCGCACCTTTGTTTAAAAGACGATCGTGCAAGACGGAAAGGAATTAAAGGCAGTCACCGTACAGGAGGTTTTGCATCGCTAAGCCTAATTTTATAAAAAAAAAAAAAAAAAAAATCAGGGAAAAAAAAAGTTTCACTTCCAGCATCGTAATATTTGGTATCATTTTAGATTATTACTTGAGCTCTTATATACGTTAAAATTAGTACTTAATAACGTTTTTTCCTTTATTTTACATGAAAATATACTTAATTGCTTATCTTGTAAAATAATTTTCGGAAGCGCTATTCAAATTATTCCAAAGTTTTAATTAATAAAATCCATCAACAAAGTTTAAAATTAATAAAAAAACACAATAAAGACTATTTACAGTAAGAAGTAACAAAATTTAAAATGAAGACTGTGGTAAATCTCGAAGCACAGAAAAGTATCACTTTCCAACCCTTAGAAAAAGTATCACATTCTAAATCTTTAGAAAATGAATAATTACTCTCATCTGCGTTAGTAAATGGTTAATTAATCATACGAGGGTATTTTTCCTCTGATAAATAGCGCCTTCCAGCCATAATAGACTGGAGGTGAGGCTTTCCGAAATAAAAAAAGAAGAAACGGAGATATATGTGAATGCAATGCAAAACATAACAGAACTCCACATAAGTAACCCTAAGAGACCGTACATAGTAGGAAGAAAAATAGAATAAAAAAAGGAATTTGATATAAATCAGACACACGAATGTTTATATTAGTATGCGGCGATTTAAAGAACCCACCTCTGTTTACGCTTTCCCTCCCGCTCCACCCTCGCAACAGTTAATGAGTAAAATACCAAAGTCAGGCAGAATATATCAAACTCAAGGTCAAGAACCTAAAATTGTGTTCATTTCAAAAGAAATGGACATAGGATGCCATCTAGTGGCCTTCAGAAAAACGTTCCAGCTTAAAATGCGCATACGCATTCCCCGTCCTCTGAGTGCAATCTCTAGTGATGCGTGGATGGGACACCTGGCTGTAAGAAACGTTCTTAGGGAATGCGTATATGGGGCGCACGTCCTGAAAGGGTTAATTCAAATGCACCTTTAAGAGGTTTCCTTAAATTAGCTATAAAATAGATATTTTACAATTTTAAAAAATAAAATTCTTTCATAATTTATAGAATTATTTGAAAACTCACCGTTAACTGACAATCTGACGGTTTCCGCAAGCGCCGTTCCAACACCATTACTTGCTTCACACAGGTAAAATCCAGCGTCCTGCTTTTCCACATCTCGAACTACTAAGGACCCGTTTTCTAAGACATACATATGAGAACTACTGACGACGCTCTTAAAGTCTGCTGGTTGAGTAGGACCATCGCCTGTTGAAGAAGATATTATTTTATAAAATTATAGATAATTATTCTAGTTTCGATAATTTTTGCCAATAAATCTTTCTCATTGAAAACGTTACATACAAATATATAAATGGATTGCTTGAGTACTAAACAATTTGTGATGTCGTGCAAGAAAAAAATATCGACCTCATAAAACACACCACAGTTCTATAAAAAGTAAGACATGTAGAAAGAATATAAGTGAAAAAAGAATAAGGACTTATATCTCCCGTTCTAACTGGGTTACTACTTCTACTGCGTTTTTCATGTCTCGAAAGCACGACTTAGGATATGTATTATATTTATATCTAGCATTATTCAAACATAGGTATTTTGACACAAAATCGGACTTTTCTGATATGGCATGCCAATTTTTTTCATTATTTAGATTCTACGCCTCAAATTATGCCTAAATTTTAAATTTTGTAAGCTTTGGTATGAAATTTACAGAGAAATTCAAAAATTTATCTTGGAGCAACGTTTTCAGTTTGCGACAAGTATAATTTACTTGGCGAACTTCTTAATTTATAGCAACTTATTTTATTTTCCTTTTTTTTCCATTGTAGACGAACAGAAAATAAAGGCCTCGTTCATACTTTCAAATAATATTAACAAAGTGCGTAAACCACATTTGGCGTTAATACCGAGGGGAAAAAAAAAAAAAAAAAGAAAGAAAGAAAAAATTTGAAATGTTTCAGATTTTAAATTACGTCCAAAGGGGCGTTTTTTAACATTTTGTGTGTCACCTTTCTTTATTAAATATCATGTTCCTCGCACTTAAACCATAAGATCCAGTGCAACAGCAATATCGCAAAATAGTTTTAAAACGAGAATATCTTTAGAATTTCCGATACAGAGACTCACGCGCTGGAGATAAAAATGTTTTTTCTGCACAACGTTGCCATTGCTCGCTTTGAAATCCTTGAGTTTGTTAATCAAAAATTCTTCAAAGTTTTAAAAAATAGGAAATCGAATCGATCATAAAACAAATTTCAAATTTCAAATTTGGTCTTCCACATGCTCATATTCGTTGGAGGATTACGTTATTCAAAATTCGATGACTCTATGTACCGTTGTTTTATCACAATACGAGAAATATACATACATTTATGCAGATTTTCATTATTTAAGTTAATTTCTTCAAATATAATGCAGGACACTAACATTTTGTGCCAACAGTTTGAAAAGTGAACCGACATTTATGAGTCCGACGCAAAATGCCAAAACGAAACTAATAGTCCTTCGGGATTCAAATCCCTTTGGACTAAAAACTGCCAAATTTCAAAACGCTCTAATATGTAAATTAATTATAATATTTATAAAAATTTTGAATAAAAAAACTGTACATTTTTTTCAGGTGTAAGCGTTAGAAATACAACTACTTTAAGATGATGGTAAAAGTTTTATAGATTATAATTCAAACATATTTTCGAAAAATATATAAAAATTATTTAAAAATACACATTTTACAATATAAATAATGAGAAAAATGGGCGAATAATATTTGGACTGAAGCCTTAAGAATTTCAGATAAGTTTGGAATAAAATCAAGTACGATATTAACAAATATATATCCAAATTGAATTAACACTGAGGAGCTAACATTTTGAGAGCTGATTTTTTAAAAATCACTCTTGCGATTTTCACAAAACTTGGTACAGTTTGGCGTAATTTGAGTCGTAGAATTGAACTGTGGAAAAAATTTGGCATGTCACTTCAGAAAAAGTCCGATTTTGTGTCAAAATACCTAAGTTAGAGAAATGCTATACATAAATCTAATATATATTTTAAGTCGCGCTTTCTAGATATGAAAAACGCAATCTGAATTTCGTGAATTGGCCCAATAGAAAGGGAGATATAGAAGTGTCCTTTTCATTTCGCAGTGTGCATTTTTTTTCTCCAGGACATGTATTAGCATTTTAAGATAATATGCGTTACGCAAGGTGATATGGTCAGCACATTGCATCATTCACTTTACGCGTTGCAGCATTAAATTAAATAAAATTTTAAGGATGTATTGTGGGATAGTCATTCAAGCTGCATTAAACTGCCACCAAAGTTCATCACGCTTGTTTTTTGAAGCAAAACTCTCATGCCTGTTCGTATTATCACATCTACACATTTTCGACGGGGAACAAATCAGGTGATTTATAGAGGGTTTCCACTAATTTTTGTAACGACTTTTTTGTAAAATACAAACGTGACCGGAATTAAATTGGAATAAGGTTTAAGTAGTGTGTGCAGCATTATAAATATTATTTTCTTTGAAATGTCGCTGAGAAACGAAAAATGAATACAAGGCTATATTTTTGCGCTCTCCGAAAAGAAATTCTCTTATTCAAGTATTAAGAAAAAAGATGTGAGAAGAATGGTGTTTTCATTGCAGTATGAGAATTGGCATTGTCCTATTGAAAAGTCACGTTGAAGGGGAAAAGAAATGTCGCAAATATGAAAGTGAGTCTGATGGTCGATTATGCTTATCGTATTGAGAACTCATTGCGGTAGTTACTTGAATTTCTATAAGAGGTACTCTATTCTTAAGTCCAATAGCAGTCTGTACAAGAAATTTATTATTCGATCTGTATGACCGGTGCGATTTGAGTGTTCTCGACCTTTCTCACATCTTTGGAGATGGATCCATATATGACCAGCATTATTACTTAAAGAAAGACGTTATACGGTATTTCTTCCTCGTTCTAGCATGCCTTCGTGGTGTAACGGTTAGCACACTCGGCGCATATTTGAGAGGTCCAGGTTCGAGTCTCGGCGAGGGCGTTACTCATTTTTCACATCTCCCGCATCAAAAATAACCTAAAAACTCTATAGTGGCGTCAGAATTAAAAGATGGTGGATGATGATACTTCACTACCAGGATTTGCGATTGGGTCCCCTAATCCCCAGTCGCCCTTTAAATGGGGGAATATATAAGATATTTCTCCCTCCTTCAAGCATGCCTTCGTGGTGTAATGGTTAGCACATTTGGCGCGTATTCGAGAAGTCCAGGTTCGAGTCCCGGCGAGGGCGTTGCTCATTTTTCACATCTCCCGCATCAAAAATAACCTAATCAATCTTGAACGTAATGTATTAAAAATATTATTCTGCCATACCATTTAAGATTGATGTATTGTTGCAGTCTAACAATGCGTTGCTGAGGTGTCAAAGCAGTTGCTTAGGCGTCAAAGCTAACAAGTGTTTGATGTGCCTGTAATCTAACGGTTAAATACTATAATAGATAATAGTACGTATATTACGTACGTCTGTTTGATTATTACTATAACATACATACTGTAATATACGCACTAAAACAGACGATGATAAAAAATGCAATAAACTGCCGTCAAAATGTCAACACGCTCCTCTGTCGATAAAGTTAACCACCGAATTTATACGACAGGAAAAATTTGCGTAAAAATAAGTGTTTTAGAAACTCTTTTTCATATTTTAGAGATAGAATGGTGCTTATTTCGGAACGTTTGACTCGCTATGACGTATTAAATTTAAAATGATCTAAACTCACGTATTAAATATTACGAGAGTTTTACAGTATATAGAAAAAGGCATAAATTCATCATGTGTAGGCCAACTATCGAAAAATATTTCTAAGATTAGTGCAACGATTTGTAACAGAAATCCAATTTTCCGTCTTAGATTCAGTTTCCCTAAATCGATAAAGGATGGATTTTGATAGCTGAGAAAATGTGTTTGAGTTTTTGCAAATATTTGATTTTACAAACACAGAAAAGAACGATTCTTAAGGAGAGGAGGAAGTTCGACTATACAAATAATTCTTAGCTAACGAATAGTGTTGAGATTTCTGATTTTGAGATAGTAAATTAATTTCAACGAAATTGCGATGATATTTAACGTTGATATATTATTTAACGTTTATATTGGATCTCGCAAAATTTTTAGGATCTTTCTGAAGCATATTTTAATATTCTTAGTTTAAAAAAATATTCGTTGAAATGTTTAAAAAAACATGTTAAGTTGTTGAAGCAAAAAGAAAATCAATCAGAAGGTGCTTATTTCTTCAAACAATTACTTAAAGTGTATATAATAATGTGTGCAAGTAAAATCATATAAATAATTAAAGGAAATACACACTATTTGAATTATATCTCGAATACTTAGAATTAATAATAAAATGTCAATGTTTATTTACACTGATCATCAAAATTAAATGCTGTTGACGTAACGGATACTTAACGAAAACTTGTTAATAGAAATTTGTAATAAAGCATTAGTAGCATAAATTATAATGTTTGGCTCTTCACTATTCTCAAAATATTGAAATTAAAACCAAATTCATGGATACTGAAAAATAATGGAAAAATTAAGTTCCTCTTGTGAAAAACATTTTTCTTTAATATGACGTATAGTTACCACGGAAAGATATGCATACCTCAAATCTTGATCTCATAGTCTTTACCCAAGTGTTGACGAAGTATTGTGGAATTGCAAGCCATACTTATAAAAGTGCACTTTTGGGCTGCTGGAGCGTCTATGAAGGAATCTGCCGGGCTGAAATTCGGAGCCCTAAGGCATGCTAAACTTGCTCAGTTGGGTGAGTAAGATGACCAGTCCATTTGAGTGATATATCTGTTTCCAAGTATTCGGACACCACATATACTCGAACAAGTCGAGCATTGTCATCCATTAGCAAAAACTCTGGGCCAACAGCACCCCTAAACTGTCTAACTTTGAATTCCAATATCTCGTCTACATATCTCCGAGACGTTACAGAACCACCTTGAATGATTTGCAGCTCGATGCAGGCATTAGGTTTGATTCCTATTCAAATCATTAAACCGCGATCGTAGAACCGAGATATTTCACGGGCAAGGGAAGGCAAATTGCGTGTTCCTTCCTCTCTCCATGTCAAAACACATCCATAATCACTGTTCAGACTATATCTGGACTCGTCAGTAAACAATACTCGGGCCCAGTCGCCTTGGCTCCATTGAACATGTGACAGCATCAGTGTA